GAGTAATGCTATTTAACATTATTGGTATTTAACACCGGTTTAGGTGGCATTACTCGTGTCATTAAATTATATGTTCAATTAAATACAAGAATTTATAACTCGTTTATTATGTCTTCACGCAAAACATACATAAGTGTTCTAATACAGTTGATACTAGAAAACATTATTCTGAAAAAAATTACAACTAAATTAAAGCATCAAAGTAAAATGTTGTATTATTCACCCATCGGGACCAGTTTCTTTTCTTGAACTCGTAAAAATTTTAAGTCTTAGATAAGTCATATAGTTGTTTGTTATATGTAACTGTTTCTATCTACATTGTTCGTTCAAACGCCCTTCCCTGCCATGTCACCTATAGGTAGCATGAGCTAAACACCAGTGATTAGGAAATCAATTCTTATATATATACATCCCACCTCCCGGATAGAGTGACCCTGACGTGAATCGTTGGGGTTTGTTAAAAGTAAGGGAAAGAAACAGCATTTCTTTGACGACTCAAATTCTGCCGTGATCCAAAAGGGGCGATTTTTTGATTGAATTCTCACCTGGGTTCTTTCGTTTTTGTGAATGCTCATCTGGGTTTCTGTTAAGAGTTTTAGTTTTAGTTGAATCCGGATTTTATGGCCATTTTTGGGAATCCGAGGTATCGTTTTATGTGTGTTTATGTATGATACCAAACAATGTGGACGTAATTGTTGGAATCTACAATCTTACCTTGAAGCTTTAGAGTTGAAGTCAAGGGAAGCCAAGTGCAAGTCTCGGTCCAAGCAAGCTGATACAACTTAAAAATTAGTTTTATTGTACAGCTGTAAATATTTGATTAGTTTAGTTTGTTAGATGACAGCTGGATCTTTCCTTTTTAGTTTGCTTTGCACGTGTATATATATACTGTTCTATACAAATGAAGCAAGTAAGAAAATAATATTTTCAAATTGATTTCATCTTTCAGTGATCTGTTCTTCCATTTCTCCTCTCTTCGATTATTATATTTTACAGTAATGCTGTATCATTTTGTTTTTGATTTGTAGAGTTGAGTGTGTTTCATTAAATTGTGCTTATTGTCCTTTTGTCTTGCTCTTTTTTTTTTTTTTTCCGTCCAGTTATTGGGTTCGTTACTTGACATAAAGTTTTAGATTGAAGGCCGATGCTTCTTTGATCAGTATGAAATTGTATTATCTTCTATGCTGCCATGGAAGAAATTTTAATAGTAGAAGGAAAACCTATCCACTTGATCTTTGTGCCTTCAGTGATCGATCTAAATTCCAACTGTTAACTTTTAACTTTTTTTGGTTTCATATGATTTTTTCATAAAAAATGAAAATCTTTGTTCTTTAAATTGTTTTGGTCATTGCATCAGATCATAATAACTTTGGTGTTCTATGGTTTTGAAGTCTCTTATCTGATCTTTAATTAAAAAATATTGTGATTTAATTTAAGATCTCAAAATAGTTTAGTTGAATGTTGGAAAGAGTTTATAGGAATTTTTGATCCAATCCCCAATTCCTAAGCCATAGTTTATTAATCTGCAACATATCAAAGAAGCAATAAATCAGTTATCAAATTCAGTGAGCTTAGCTGGAAATTTCTTCTTTCCAGCTACACTTATAAGCAAAAATTTGTCCATTTCCCTCAATTACGGCTGTAAATTTAATGTTCTTTCTCTTTTGTACTCTAGCTATAGGCTGGTTTGTTTAATCTCATGTATCATGATGGACCGACAAGTTTGATGAATCGTGACACTTATCATTTTTTCCTATTACAGATGTCCACAGAGAGTTCCGTAGAGCATCTTGCTTCTTCCCTTTCGCATGCATAAATATAGAGGGCAAAAGACTCATTTTTAGTTTGTATTAAGGTTATTTTATAGTTTCTACATACACTACTGAATTCAGGCTGCTTAAATTGATACAGTAAAGGGAATCAATCATCTCTTCTCAGGATGAAGGCTTTAATTCTCGTTGGAGGCATGGGCGGATGCAGACAATTAAAGTTAGATGCACAATCAAATTTGCAAAAAAGTTGGCAAAAATTTTACAATAAAAAATTTACATGCAAAAAAATCATACCCCATGTAATTTTGCACTTGAAAATTTACATGGAATATGACTTTTTCGGATGTAAAATTTTGAAATTTTTTGATGTCATATCCCATATAAATTTCCTAATGAAATAATGCAAATTACATTGAGAAATTTGTATCACAAAAATAATAAATGTTAATGAAATTTTCGGATGTAAAATTTCGAAATTTTTTTAATATCATATCCCATATAAATTTCGTCATAAACTAATTCAAATTATATTGAGAAATTTGTATCACAAAAATAATAAATGTTAATGAAATAATTAATTTTTTTAAAAAAATGTGAGTTAGACGCCTCTTTTTAAGACGTACATTTGACGCATCTTCAACTATTTTCGATATCTGTTTGAACTATTCGATATGCCTATAATGTAGTCCTCGAAACGAGCTTTGAGATGATATAAGCGACATGTAGATTCGACTACCGTACGATCGTCGGAGAATTTTTAAAGTTAGCATGTTATCGAAGTTCTCGAAATATTAATTTCAAACCGCCTACTTTGACAAGTCGTAACATTTGTTACAATTGGTCGTTTCGCACGCCGTTAAAGACATAAAAAACTATAATATGAGCACTTCGAAATGGTATTAAGAATGCAATATTTCGATTTCATTTCACATCTTATAATGATTTCGAAAATTGAAACAAAACATAGGAAAAAAAAAAAAGCAAAGGTGGGGGCACGTGCCCCCAGGCCCACCCCTGGGTCCGCCAGTGGTTGGAGGGTTTGGTACTCGATTGACGCCATCGACTCTTGGTGTCCCTAAGCCACTTGTTGAATTTGCTAACAAGCCTATGATCTTGCATCAGGTATATTATTTGAACTCTTCAGCTTTTTATATTTTGAATTATGTCAAAAGGTTTGACGGTCAGATCGTCAAATTTGAATCCCTCCCATGCTCAAGAGTATTTATATTCAAATATGCAAATTCTACTTTCATTTTATTTATGATTATGGCCCCGTTTGGGAGAAATTTTAATCAAGATTTTAATCAAAATTCTAGCCATTAACTATCAAATCAGCCACCATTTTGACTTTCCCTCTCACAGGTGGGGCCCACAAGTTGACTATAACGGCTATAATTTTAATTAAAATCCCACAAAAATTGCTCCCAAACACGCTCTATATAAATAATTTCAGTATGGTTCTCTCATTCGGAAGTCTTAACTTCTAATTGTTATTCTTCTCTCTAATTTTTTCCATCTTCTTTCAAAATCATTATAGAAAGTGATTTTTCTTCAAATATTTTCTAAAACCAAAGGTTTGGTTGATCTTTTTTTTTTTTTTTTTTTTTTTTTCAAATGGTTCCGTTATTCTTAGCTCTATTTCTTTTTTCAAATGGCTTATTTTCTTCTATTATACTTCTATTTTCAAAATCATTATAGAAGGTAATGCTAAACTTCTTGAAAGAATTTGAGGCAAAGCTCGGGATTACAATTACATGCTCACAAGAGATAGAGCCACTTGGAACTGCGGGTCCCATCGCTTTGGCCCGGGATAAACTGATAGACGGTTCTGGTGAACCATTTTTTGTTGTCAACAGTGATGTTATCAGTGAGTACCGATTCAAAGAGATTATTGAGTTCTACAAAACCCATGGTGGTGAGGCATCTATAATGGTGACCAAGGTAAATGGTGACCAAGGTAACATCATCGTAATGTTCGAAGTCGCTTATTAGCTAAAATTTGACAAGAAGCTAATTTTACTTGTTGATATAGGTGGACGAGCCTTCAAAATATGGTGTCATTGTGTCATTGTTATGGACGAGTCCGCGGGACAAGTGGAGAGTTCGTCGAGAAGCCTAAATTATGTGGGAAACAAGATAAATGTTGGCATTTACCTACTAAACCCTTCGATTCTTGATCATATTGAATTACGTCCCACATCAATTGAGAAAGAGGGTTCCCAAAAATTGCAAACCAAAAAAAGCTATATGTGGTCATGCCCGAATTTTGGATGGACATTGGACAACCAAATGATTACGTTAGTGAACTGATACTTTCCTTGGACTCCTTGAGAAAGAAAGCTTCTCCAAAGTTGGCCTTTGGATGTCATATTATTCGAAGTGGAAACTATACCCAACCAGAATTTTAAAAATTCAATTTCAAAAATCAGATCTAAAATTTATTTATACAAAAATTAGATATTACTTCAAAATCTTTAATACTATCTAAACCCTAAAAATCCCAAATCATTACTCACATCTCTCTCTCTCTCTCCCCCCTTCGGCGGCTCCAACGTCAACAAGTAAAAGAAAGGCTGATCCGGCGACCGCAACTGGTTTGGGCACACGGCAGATGTACACGATCGGCTCATCGGTTCCTTGCAGCGGCAACAGCACCGTTGCACACGATCATCGTGCAGCGCCGCGACGTTCGTACAGCTCGAAGTGGAACCTATGTTGCCTCTCCTTTCCCTCTCCCCTTTCCATTTTATATATGCGTGACGTGTGGGGCTATGTAAATGGTGGTGGTGTGCTGGTTTCCCTCCTCCCCTTCTCCATTTTCTATCTACCGCAACGTGTAGGGTTGTGTAAATGGTGGTGGTGTGCTGTGGGTAGTGCGGTGGTGGTATGTTGTGGTGGTAGTTGTGTGGTTGGGTGAGTGGTGTGGTGTGGTGCTGTGTACGGTGGTGACTGTGATGGAGATGGTGGTGACAAGGGTTGCTGTTGTGTTTGTGGATTGGTGGTGATTACGGTGGCAGTGTTGGTGGTGGTCGGTGACGATGATGGTAGGGTTGAGGATTTTTTTTGGGTTGTAGGATAGGGGGTGGTGGTGGAGGTTTTGTGGTTTTATTTGTGGTAGTGCGGTGGTTGTGGATGGGTAGTGGTGGTCGTGGTCATGTCGGTATTTTTAGATGATGATTTGCTGCCGGGTGGTGGTGGTGATGGTGGTTCTGGCGATGGGGTTTCGGTTGCCATGTTGTTGGTGACAGTGGTGAGGTGGCAGTCATAAGTGTTGGTGGTGGTTACAGATTATTTGGTTGTTTGTGACCATTAAATTGATTAATCTGTGATCGATAAACAATATTCGTTCAATGAAAAAAAATAAATTGTCACCAAAAAATAATGTGTAACCTAAAAAATTGTTAATTTGTGACCGATAATTTGATAATTTGTGACTGTCTATAAGTTGTGATTTATAATATTTGTGATTTGTGACCTATAAATAAATTGTGACGTTTCAATTTTTTATTTGTGAACGATGAACAAATTGTAACCTATAAAATTTTTGAATTGTGATGTTAAAATAATTTGTGATATATAAAATTTGTGATCTGTGATCAATGAATAATATGTGACTTATTAATTTTATAAATTAATGATGATGAAAAAATTGCGACTTATAAAATTTTCGATTTGTGATTGTGAAATAATTTGTAACCTATAAAATTTTTTGTTGTGATCAAGAAATGATTTGTGACCAAATTATATGGAATTGTGATTTTAATATATTTAATTAATAAAATATATGTTTAATTAATTTATAAATAAAATTTAAAAAAAATCTGACATTTAAAATTTTAAACCTTAGGTTCTTAAATTTGAAATGGGTGAAACTTAAACTCTTATTTATGAGTTTTTCCCTTATTGGAAATGTCCTAAAGGATGAGTGCCAAAATTGGAGTTGGTTGCTTGATTGGACCAACCAGATGTTTCAATTGGCCCTTGTTGTGTTGTGGAGTCTGGAGTTAGGCTCTCAAGCTGCACTATAATGTGGGGGGTCCGCATCAAGAACCACGCATGTATTTCAAGTAGTATAATTGGCTGGCACTCAATTGTTGGACAATGGGCTCGCATAGAGAACATGACCATTCTTGGAGAAGACTTTCATGTTGGGGACGAGATTTACAGCAACGGAGGCGTGGTTTTACCTCATAAGGAGATTAAATCTAGCATCTTGAAGCCAAAGATTGTATTGTAAAGGCTTGTTTTTAGCATTGGGGGTCTGTAATATAGTGTGCGGTGTTTGAAATGTGATGTTCTTTTTTGTTTATTTCCTATTTTCAGTTCCCTTCCATTCCAATTGTAAAAGCCAATCTTTGAAATTGAGTGATTAAGGTCTGTCTCTAAAGGTTCCAGGTCTTAAAAAGTATGGTCAATTGTGTGAAATGTGTAATCTTGTAAATAGAAAACAAACGATCGTTTTCTTTTGTTTTGGCATACACGTATATTTGATTTTAAGGATGGCTACATGGAAAGTTTTGTGCATATTATCATATGATTTTTTGACGAAGTTCACTGGCCAGCCCTTAAAATTTTGAGATCCAAGACTACAAAATATTATGAGGCCATAAATATAATTTTTTACAAGCATAATAATCTCTTTAGCATTGATTATGATCAATTAAAACACAATTTCATGTGATGAGGAATACTATACCAATGACATTCACTCACCATTCGATTTGTCCGAGAATCAGTTCTCGCATTCAAGAAATAGAACTAATGCCTTCTGAAAACATGTGAGGTATGTGAGTGGTGACTACTATTTCACTATATATTAAAAGAGGCAAAGCAAAAGTTACACGTGTCGCCATTTCCCATCGTCGTCAAAAATCCTCATTTAAAAAAAAAATTCACTGAAATTCATCAAAAATTCCCCCACGGCCATTCCTCCTTCTCCATTATCTCACGCAACCACCCACTCCTCCTCCATTTTCCCATGCAACCTCCCATTGCCTCCTTCCTTTCCATTTGCTCGAACAATAGATTTTTTGCTCCAGCCTCGTGCATTTCCTCGGATTTGTATTCTATTTTCCTCATTTCTTTGTGTGATTATATAGCCATTCATTTATATTAATTTTCAGTACCCAACTCGGAATCCACAGTTTGCTTTTACGCCAATTCCTCTTTCTTTCAGTAGTAAGCTCATTCATTCAATTAGTTCAATTTTTTATTATGATTTTCATGTATACATGTATTTGATTTTCATGTATTTTGAATGTGGGGTTATACGACAGAGGGTTATAGTCAGAGCTACAGATAATGATACAACGAAGGTACGCTGTTTTTTCCTGTTGCCTTTTTAGACTTTTGTTTAGTAAATTTGTATCTCCGTGTTTTTTTTTGGAGCTTGATTCGATTAGTATTTTTGTTGACTAAAAAAAGGAGTAGTAGATTGTCATCTTTATCTGAAAAATGAGAGAAAAACAAAAGGAATAGGTTAAGCTAAATTGTGTGTTTGAATGGATCTTTGAAATATACCAGATGAAGCAACGACTGGGATTGGTTCAAGCATTAATCAGATACTTGATATTAGGAGCCAAGCAAGAAACAGTCAGATTTGAATCTTTACATTTAATAGTTTACTTCAGTCTAGCAATAACAGAATGGGAAGAACTTTTATGCCTTTCAAGGGGTGTGGGCTTAGTTAGATTGTGGAGTAGTTGATTGTGTTTTTGAAGTGCAAAAATTGTGCCTTGATTTAAAACTTCATCTCTTCAAATCTTAGGAAAAATAGTTTGCATTTAAGGTGTTTGATAAAATGACCAAGTGGAAAATTAGTGTATAATTAGGCGTAAACTAGCAATTGGGTTTCTTTAACCTTCACTATTATTAAAAAAATGAAAATAAAATAAAAATAATAATCTCCATTAGCATGGAGGCCTGGAGACACCGGCGGTGTCTCCATGCTGGATGGAGACACAGCTCCACAGCCGTGTCTCCATCCAGGGATGGAGACAGGCCATGTCTCCATCCACTGGAACTCCGTCCAGTGGACGGAGTTCCATGTCTCCGTACACTGGATGGAGACATTTCTCCATGTCTCCATCCAGCGGATGGAGGCATGGAACTCCGTCCATGCATGTCTCTAAAATTAAATAACAGTACATAAAATATTTTCTTGCAGGATATACAATTCCTTTAGGATGGGTCATTATGATTGCCTTTGCTGGCCTTCATCTCAACTCCAACAAATTTGCGGATCGTTTTAAATTCAATCCATGGCGTTGGAAGGTGTGCAAAGTTTGTGTTCTTTATAACGACTACTTCTAAGTTCCACATCACTCGTCAAAATCCTTGTGGACTTATAAGCATATTGGTCAAGCACCCTTCCATTATAAACGAAATAACAGATGTTTCGCTCTAATTATATAGGAACTTGAACCATCTGTCATAGCTAAATGTTTTATGCCATTTGGATCTGGTATGAAGCAATGTGCTGCTGCAAAATATAGAAGGGTGCTGATGGCAACTTTTCTACACGTCCTCGCAACAAAGTACATGTTTTTTAGTTTTGCATCATATTT